ACTACTACTACTACTACTACTACTACGCCTACGACTACGACTACGACTACAACTAGTACTACTACTACGACGACTACTACTACTACTACTACTACTAATACTACCACTACTACTACTACTAGTGCGACGACGGCGGCCAACACGAAAAAAAACTACTACTGCTCCTGCGACTGCTGCTGCACTGCTGGTATTTCGGTTACCCCAACGGCTGCGACTACTGCTGCGACTACGACTGCTACTACCACGACTGCTGCTACTATTGCTGCGACTACTGCTGCTACCGCGACTAATCCCACAACTGTTGCTGATACGGCTAAGACTGCTACTCCTATTACTAGTACGTCTCCTTCTACGACGAATACTATTAATATTACTACGATGGAGTACTACGACGACTACTACTACTACGCCGACTACGGCTACTACGACTAATACTACAATTACGACTACTACGACTACTACTACTACTACGACTACTACAACTACTACTACGACTACTACGGCTACTACTACTACTACATACACGATTACCACTACTATTACTACTACTACTACTACTACGAGAACTACTAGAACCACTACTACTACCACTAATACTACTACTACTACTACTACTGCTAGAACCACTACTGCTACCACTACTGTTACCACTACTACTACTACTACTACTACTACTACTACTACTACGACTACTACTACTACTACTACTACTGCTACCACTACTACTACTACTACTACTACTACTACTACTACAACTACTACTACTACCATCACAATACTACCACTACTACGACTATAACTACTATTGCTACAACTACGACTACTACCACTACCACTACTACTACTACTACTACTACTACTACTACTACTACTACTGCTACTACTACTACTACTACGACTCGCACCACGACTACTGCTACTACTACGACGACTACTACTACTACTACTACTACGACCACGACCACGACTACGACCACTACTAGTACGACTACGACCACTACGACTAGGACTACGACTATACGTCTACGACTACAGCTACAACGGCAATTACAACGACTGCGACTATTACGACGAGTAATACAACTTTCCCTACCACTATTACTTTTATTACTACGACTGGTACTGCCACTACTACTACTACTATTACTACGAGTACTACCATGTGACTCCTCCTGCTACTACTGCTACTACTACTACTACTGCTACTCGGGCTACTACTACTACTACTAATACCACCACCACTACTACTATTACTACTAGTACTACTACTACGACTACTACTACTATTACTACGCCTACTACTACTACTACGACTACGACTACGACTACTACTACTACTACTACTACTACTACTAAAACTAGTACGACTACTACAGCTACTACTAGTACTACTACTACTACTAGTACCACGAATACTACTACTACGCTACTACTACTACTACTACTACTACTACTACTACTACTACTACTACTACTACTACTACTACTACTACTACTACTACTACTACTACTACTACTATAACTACTACTTACTAACTTACACTACTACTACTACTACACTACTACTACTTACTACTACTACTACTACTACTACTACTACTACTACTACTACTACTACTACTGCTGCTACTACTACTACTCTTACTACTACTACTACTACTACTACTACTTCTACTACTACTACTCCTACTACTACTTCTACTACTACGGCGAGACCAACTACTACTACAACGAATGTACTACTTCTACCCCTACGACTACTACTACTACTGCTACGACTACTACTACTTCTTCTTCTTCTACCACGACTGCTGATACTACTATTACTACTACTACTACTACTACTACTACTACTACTACTACTACTACTACTACTACTACTACTACTACTACTACTACTACTACTACTACTACTACTACTACTACTACTACTACTACTACTACTACTACTACTACTACTACTACTACTACTACTAGTACTACGACTACGACTATGTCTGCGACTACGAGTACTACTACTACTACTACTACTACTACTACTACGACGGCTGCGACTACGATTACTACGACTACTACTAATTATGCTGCTACTGCTACTGCTACTACAACTACTGCTACTACTACTACTACTACTACTACTACTACTACTACTACTACTACTACTACTATACTTACTACTACTACTACTATACTACTACTACTACAACTACTACTACTACTACTACTACTACTACTAACTACTACGAACTACTACTACTACGCTAACTACTACTTACTACTACTACTACTACTACTACTACTACTACTACTACTACTACTACTACTACTACTATACTACTACTACTACTACTACGACTACGACTACTACTACTACTACTACTACTACTAACTACTACTACTACTACTACTACTTACGACTACATCTACGCATTATCCTACTCCTACTCCTACTCCTACCCCTACCCCTCCTTCCACACTCTCACGTCTGGAGCCCCCCCCCCCGCCGTATGTGATCCGGGCCCTCCTCCTCCTCCTACTCCGCGTTGCCGTCAACAAGTATCGGATCATCACCATCGTCATCCTCTTCATCATGCTGGTCAACCCTCCATCCTCTTCGTCGGCCTTCTCATCCTCTTCCTCCTCCTCCTCCTCCTCCTCCCTCTCCTCCTCCTCTCGTCCTATCCCTTTCTCCTCCTGCTCCTCCTCCTCCTCCACCCAGCCTCCTCCTTCGATGCTCCCTCTTCTCTGCTCTGCCCTCCATCCCCCTCCACCCTACTCCTCCCTGGTCCCTTTCTACCCTCCCTCCTCCCTCCACAAATGCTTGCTTGCTCTGCAAATATGATGTCATCCGTTATGATACAGCAGCTCATCGTCCCCCCTCGCGTACCTGAAATCGAGCACTCACGATGAGAAGTCGCCATTGCATCATCAAATCCGTCCTTCTCCCCCGTTTTTCCTCCATCTTCTCCTCCTCATCCTCCTCAACAACTGCCCAATGTCCATACCACTCTCCTCTCTCCCCTGAAGTCGTCGGGGGCGTGGTCCTGCCCCCTCCGCAGACGTGTTTGCCCACACGCAGGATGTCCGATGATGACTTCTCGTGTTTCAAAATGGCATTCCCGCTGCAGCGTGCGCCTCGTCTGCGGATCGGCGCGTTGCTCCCATCGTTCAGGATGGCGCTCTCGGCCCCGCGTGGGCCACTGTTCTGGATCCCACAGGCCTCGCAAGTCCCCCAGGTCCCGCAGGTCCCACAGGGCCCACAAGCCCCACACGAGTCGCAGGTCGCCCCAAAGGTCCAACAGGTACCGCAGGTCTGACAGGTTCCACAGGTCCCACAGGTGTCGCAGATCTCGCAGGTCCCACAGGTCGCACAGGTCCGACAGGTCCCGCAGGTCTCGCAGACCACGGAGGACCAAGAGTTCCCACAGGTCCCACAGGCCCCACAAGCGTCGCAGGTCTCACGGGCCCCACGGACCACAAAAATCCCCCAAGTCGAACAGGTCCCACAAGTCCCGCAGGTCCCACGGGTCCACACTTCCCACTTGTCCCACAGAAGTCCCACAGGTTCCACGGGTCCCACAGATCGCACAAGTCGCGTTTCCCACCTGCCCCAAAGGTGCCACAGGTCACACTTACTGCAAAAAAATGCTTTGCTGGGGGTATGGAGTTCCAGGTCGGCTCTGACACGCGTCCGCGAACAGAAAAACATCAGCGTGACGGGAAGAGAAGGGAGGGAGGGATAGGATGTCAGATGTGTTCTGGGGGGATAGGACGTCAGATGTGGCGCGAGCGCACCTAACTCCTAGCTTGACCCTCCTCCCCTCTCCCTCCTCCCCTCCTCCTGCCTCCTCCCTCCCTCCTCCTTTCCTTCTCCTTCCCTCCTGCAGCTCCCATCGGCGCAGCGGCGGCAGCGACAACGACAACGACAAACGACGGCGGCTGACGACGGCAACTACGACGACGGCGACGGCAGCGACGACGACGGCGCAGGTGGTCGCGACGAAGTCGTCGCGATCGTGATCGTCTTGGGAGGCTGCTGTTGGGTCATGGCAGAGCCCGATTGATGCGCCTCGAAACAGTGGCCACGAGAGCAACACTGTCTTCTAAGTGTTAAATGCGCGGCCCGAGGTCCCACCCCTTCCCCAGGGGGTAGCCTTAGCCTCCTTCTCCTCCCCCTCCCCCTCCTCCTCCTCCTCCTCCTCCTCCTCCTCCTCCTCCTCCTCCTCCTCCTCCTCCTCATCATCATCATCATCATCATCATCATCATCATCAGCATCAGCATCAGCATCAGCATCATCATCATCAGCATCATCATCATCATCAGCATCATCCTAGCCTCTACTCCTGGGGCCGTGCTTGACGGCCCCAGGGCCCGACCACCGGGCCCAACAAGCCGAAGTCGAGGAACACCGCCTGGACCACGAAGCATCGGCTCGTCGGGGATCTCGACTTCGACCGTGCCGAGGGGAAAGGGTCAGGACCTCGTGGACCCCCGAGCTGCCCGGGATAGGTCGTCCAGGGTAACTCTAGCTTAGGCCCCGAGGCAGGGCTCAATAGCTGCCTCTGACCACCCATAGCCCTGATGATTCGGCGGGCTCCAGGCCTGCGGGGAACCTGCTCTGCGAAAGCGCCACGAAACGCCGTCGGTGGCAGCCACACGGCCGCGAACCCGCCCCCGCGTGGCGGGCCGCGCGACGACGGCGACAACGACGACGCCGACGGCGACGCTCACGGTGCAGACGACGACGCCTACGACTGGGGAGATCAAAAGGTACCGATACCGCTACTCCCAAGACCTCTCCTGGGGTGCGTTCTGACCAGAATTTCTGGGCGAATCCAGCGGTGGCGACGAGGGCTTCCCAGGAGGGGAAAACGAGGGAGGGGTAGCGGTAAGTAGTCTAAAAAAGTCGTCCCCGTATTAGTTGTGGACTATTTTTGAACACTCCTCCTGTAGAGGGACACGCCCGACTTAAAGCCAGGCCCCCCCGCGCGGCCCAGACCTCCTGCGTCAGCAGCCGGTTGCCCGGCGGCAAGGCGCGCAGGCCGCCCGCCTTCGCGCGCGCGCGCGCGATCGCCGCCGCTCTCTCGGGCACCGGCGACGTGCCGTGGCCCCAGAGATGCGACGCGTTGAAAAATCGAGACGGAGGTCTTTCGCAGTCTTCGGCCTCTGGGGGCCCTCGCCGGGCCCCAGGACCGCCAGAAAATCGGGTCGGGCGAAAGGGGGGGATAGCAAAGGAGGGGCCTAAGAATCAGCTCGCGTAATTGATCTTCCCGGCGCCTCCCAGCGCCGGAGGCGGCCATGTATCGAGGAATGGGCCCCTCGGTGGGGCCGAAACCAGCTGCATGCAGCAAATTTCGTACCCCCCCCCGTTCCCAGTCCCCCCCTTTCGTCCGGCCCGCCAGAAAACGGCTCGGGAGGAAAAGCCAGTCCTGGGGAAGGGGCCGGGACTTCCCGGGACCGCGTGCGGAAGCAGTCGCGACATCGGACCTCTGGGGTCGTGCGCTCTCCACGGGGCTGCCGTGTCCGCGCAAGCCCGGCACGGCCACGCTGGGAGCACCTGCGCCGCCTGCCGTGGGGAGGGGGCAGCTCGAGGAAAGAGAACTATGCACATACACCGATTCTGGCCAGGCCCATCCTGAGCCCAGGATCGGTGCATACGCCCTCCTGCCTTGGCCACGAAGGCACATGCACCGATCCTGGGTCAAGGATGGGCCCTGCCAGGATCGGTGCATGTGCATAGTTCTCTTCGCCCGAGTAGCGTCCACACCCTCGGCCCAGCCAGTGTGCGAGGCTGCCTCCAGGGCCGCGAACGGCTCCCGAGTATCGTTCAGCCGATCCTCATCCCCAGCGGCGTGGCCTGGGCCCCACTGGCCGATCTGCCCCCCTAGATGGGGATCTAGGTCGTCCCCCTCGGGTTTCGAGGGGTGTATCCCCAACTGGGGGGGGGTCATCTAGCGGGGGTCTCGAAGGGCATGGGGATGGGGATGGGGATCGGTGAAACGATACCGACCGAGCCCCGCGCAGCCAGGGCCCGGATCCTGCAGGATCTGGCGCCCTGGCCGGGCCCCGTTGCCGCGGAGCCCCGCGGCGGGAGCCACGCGCCTGGACCCCTCCCAGGCGCCAGCCTCTCGCCCCGATATCGGGCTCCCTCCTGGCGGCCCCCGCGCCCGGCGAGGGCTCCCGGGGCCGAAAACTGCCCCAAGATTTCCGGGTCGTCTTTGGGGTCCAGACTTGTGATGTTCCGGCCGGCCTTCCCCTTGACCACCAGAGAGCAGTTCGAGCACCAAGAAAGCACCGAGACTGGAGGGTGTTCGCGCGTCGGGCCCGGAGGCGACACTCGTTCGGCATTGGCTCAACACTTTTCTGGATGTTCGAGATTATCTTTGGGGTGGGGTCCTGCAATACGATGGAAACAACAGAAGTCCGGAAGCGTTGTGAACGCCCCCCCCCCCAACTTGGCCAAGGAGGTACAAGCACCGCTCCTGGGCGAGTGGGCCTGCCCAGGCGAGGCTGGATGTGCGAGGGAACCACCTGTGAACCCTACCCCTGCAGAGGAGGAGGAGGAGGAGGAGGAGGAGGAGGAGGAGGAGGAGGAGGAGGAGGAGGAGGAGGAGGAGGAGGAGGAGGAGGAGGAGGAGGAGGGGGAGGAGGGAGGAGGAACAGGAGGAGGGGGAGGAGGAGGAGGAGGAGGAGAAGGAGGAGGAGGGAGGAGCAGGGGAGGAGGAGGGAGGAGGGGGGATGGGGAGGAGGGAGGAGGGAGGAGGGAGGAGGGAGGAGGAGGAGGGAGGAGGGAGGAGGAGGAGGAGGGAGGAGGAGGAGGAGGAGGAGGAGGAGGAGGAGGAGGAGGGAGGAGGCTTTCCACAGCATTTCCCCTGGCAGCGATGCCGCCTCTCCCCTTTCCCGTGGCGGGCCCGCTTGCGGCGCCGCGCGGGCCCGCGGCTCAGGCCGACGCGGCCGCCGCGCGGTCGCGGGTGGGCTCTCTGCGGGCGCCAGCGCTGCGCCTCCAGCGCCTCGACGAGGCGGCTTCTGCGCCAGCGCAAGCAGCTCCTTCAGCGCGGTGCGCTTCTCCTTCTCGAAGTTCGCGACGCCCACGACGGTTGTCACTGTTCCCTTCTCGGGCGATGGGTTAGTTGCGATCCTTCCCCCATCGCCCGATGTGTCCGAATACTTCACCTGATTGATGTAATGTTCCTGCTTCGGGTTGCCCGTGTACTTTGCCACGTCCATGTTCGGTTCGGTGCTCGTGCTGTCCCTGTTGAGCTGCTGGCCTCCGTTGTGCTGCTGCACTACTTGCTTGTTGTTGTCCTCGCCCGCGAACAGGATGTCCACGACGCTTTCTCTGCTGGCTGGCGTTGACCTCGCGGCAGCCAGTAGGGGTCTCGACAGTGCTGCCATCCTGTTTTTGCGCTCTGTCCTGTCGTCATGTGCTGCTTTGGCCTCATGGTGCTTGTCTGGCCTGGTCATCCAGCACTGCGGCGACGGAGTACCTTCCCACGGTCCTTTCCTAGGCGGCGATGTCGTCGCTGACGGGCTCCCCGCGGGCGCCATCGCTGTGCCTCCCGCGTCGTGGCGAGGCGTCTTCCTCGCCAGCTCGAGCAGCTCCTTCAGTGCTGTGCACTTCCCCCTCCCGAGGCTCGCGTCGCCCATTGCGGTTGTCGCTGCTTCCTTCTCGGGTGATGGGTTATTTTCGGTCCACCCCCCATCGCCCGAAGAGTCCGTGTACTTCACCTTGTCTACGCCGTGCTTCTTCGTCGAATTGTCCGCGTGCTTCACCTGCATGTCCGTATGCTGGTTGACCGACTAGCCCCAGCGGCTGCATGCCAACCCTCTGCCTCGTCGCTGTCGCTGGAGAGAGTGCGGGGTGTTCGGCCTGGCCTCTACGTCGCCGTCGAAATAGCGCTTCCCCTTTGTTGCATTGACCCCTTTTTTTCCTCACGCGCTGCTTGGCGTCGCGCCGCTCGGTTGTTTCTGCCTTCACTTGGCCTTCGCTCGACGCAGCCCACGACGGCGATGGCGATGTCTTGTCGGACCAAGGTTGTTGTCGCCCGCGGCCCTTCGCAGCAGCTCGCCTCGTTGCGCGGGTTGGCATGTCGCGGCGACCCTTGCTCGGCAATGCGGTCCGCGTGTGTGTTGCCTCTGTTGCCTTCCCGGACATCACAGGGCACTTGCTTGCCGGCTGTCCCCCCCCCGTCAGGTGGGTGTTGATGATGCCGACGTCGTTGCGTTCGCCCGTTTCGTAGATCGCGCCCGCGACCTTCCCCCAGAGGTCGCTGTTCGCGCCTGCCGGCAGCTCCTGTTGGTCGCTCTGCATCTGCCAGCGGATGCACGTGATCTCGCTGTCCGCCCAGAAGTACAGCCCCGCCCTTCCGTTGGTCTGCCTGCCACCTGGCAGGGTTCCGCACTGTCCTGCGTAGATGACGTCGCCCCGCGCCCTGTTGGCGCACTGGACTACGATCGCCCTGCCCCAGCCACAACTCCTGCATGTGTCGTCGCCGCTGCACCCGCCGCCCGAGCCGTCCCCAGATGCGCCCGGTCGTTCACCTGGCGATGGCAGAGCTAGGCGTCGGTCTCGCACCGCCTTCAATGTCTCCTCTCCGCCGCCCTCGGTGCTGCAGGCTGGCGGCGCGGTCCCAGCCGGCGGCGTCGGCCCGCGCCACAAATCGTCTCTGCCTCTTGCAGGCCTCTATCCGCTGGGCCCCGGGTCTCCTCGCAGATCTTGTTCGGCTTCCTCTCGTCGCAGCACTCGTCCGCAATGGCCCCCCTCGCGGCCTCTCTGGGGCAGTTGATGCCCGCGACGACGGCGCCCCAGCTCTGCTCGCGGCCCTTGGCCCGCTTGCGGACAGCGGGTCTGCGGAGCAGTTCCCGCGCGTGGACCAGCCGCGGGAGCAGCGCCAGCGCCCCGTCGCCCTTGGCTGGCGTGGGCTTCGCCATCACCAGCGAGCACAGGACCTGCCACTGCCACATCAGCTGCTGTTCGCACGCGTTGAACTGGTCCACGATCTCCTGCCTGCCCTCGAATGGTAACCCCCTGATGTCCGCGCGGTTCCGCTCGTTGACGCCCCGGCCGCTGCCTGGCTCGCCCGCGAACGTCTCGTCGAGGTCCTCGACGCCCCAGCGGGGCCCCACTGCGTCGAGCGCCTTCTGTCTCAATACCTGTAGGATGGCCGTGTGCCTCTCGCGCGGGATATCGCCGCAGCCCCAGATCTGGCTGAACGCCTCTGCTTGTGCGTCCACGATCACTTTGGGGCGGCCTGCGGCGTGGATATCCGTCTTGAGATTCCCTTCGCGTCTCGCTGACGGCTTCGCGTGCAAGTAGTGCGCCCCAGGCTTCGCCTCGGTGCCTGCCAAACGTCGGCAGATGTTGCTCGTGCTTTCCCTGTAGTCGCGCTGTGATACTGCCTGCTTCTATCCCCCGCCCCCTGAGCCATGTCATCGACGACGTCGACGTTGACCTCCTCGAGGTTCCTGCGTCGGCTCCGCCGCATCTGGTGGCGGGGCCTCGCGGCGGGGGGTCATCTCCCCCTTCGGCTGCGGCATGGCGCAGGCGAGCGCGCGCGCGTCCCTGGGCATCTCCTCCAGCTCTTGCCCGCTTCTCTCTCTCTCTCTCTCTCTCTCTCTCTCTCTCTCTATCTATCTCTCTATCTCTCTCTCTTTCCTTTGTTTCTCTCGCTCTCTCTCTCTCTCTCTCTCTCTCTCTCTCTCTCTCCTTCTCTCTCTCTCTCTCTATATATCTCTCTCTCTCTCTCTCTCTCTCTCCCTCCTCTTTTTTTTCTCTTTTTTGTTTTTCTCTCTCTCTCTCTCTCTCTCTCTCTCTCTCTCTCTCTCTCTCTCTCTCCCTATTACTCTCTCTCTCTCTCTCTCTCTCTCTCTCTCTCTCTCTCTCTCCTCTCTCTCCTTAGCTTCGCTGTCGGGGCGAGCGAAGTCTCGACTCTGGCCCGACAGCCTGCTCTCATATCCTTGTACCTCGCTCTCTCCTCTCCTCGCTCTTGCTTATCTTCTCAGTTAAGCTTGTAGCCTTGTTCTCTGCCCGCGAAGCGCTTCCTGTCCTCCAAGTCCATCTTGCACGCCCTGCCGCAGAACCGCTCTGTCGCGCCGATCGCGCGCTCGAACGGCCCCCTAGATCTTCTGCCGCCGGAAGGGCCTGGCACGCCGCGCACTTGCCGACGTGCTCGGGGGCGGTCGCGGCGTGGCCCAGCGTGCTCTCCAGCTGGCTGGCGCACTCTCAGAGTTGACCCCTGCTGGAGGCGTCCGCGTGCTCGCTGAGGCGGGTAGTCCTGCTCGCCGTGCGGCCACGCTCCTGCTCGTCGCGCGGTTCCTCTCCCTGGCTGAGACGGTGGAACGGGCATGCGCCCTCTGCGCACGCGGCGTTGCCCTTCGCTGCCCCGTGCCCTTGCGCCCAGCAGCTTGGCGACGAAAAACCTCCTGGTGGACCGTCCTCTCGCGCGTGCGCCCGTCGCGCTGTTCCTTCTGCTTGCGCTTTTGCCTCCTGCTGTGACCTTCTCCCGGGCCCCATGCCGCCCGGCGTCGGCTGCTTCTTCGGCGCCCGCGCGCGCGGGAAAGCCCGCGGCGCAATGCGCCTCTTCGCCTGGGCCGCCTGCGCCCCCCCCGCCCCCGCGGGTCGCGATCTCGAGCCCAATGCGCGGCTTCCACGGCACGTCGCAAACCGCATCGATGCCCGCGACGAGCTCCGCCCCGGCGTTGCTGGCCATCTCGAAGTCGATGGCGGTGGCGCTGTCGCCGAGGTGGCAGGCGCTGGCGCCGGTTGGCAAGGTGGCGAGATTGGATGCGCCCATCGCCTCTGGCCAGCCTGACGCCTAGAACTCCTGCGGCTACTTGCCGAAGTCGCCACAGACGATCCACGCGCCCTGCAAGCTCTGGAGCAACGTCGCCAAGCTCGTCAACTTCCTGCTGCCGATGCCCTCCTCTAAGGTCAGGCCTTGTCCAAGAAGAGGCTGGCCGCGGTGATCGACGTGCTCGCCAAGTGCCAGGTGGCTGGGGCCCAGTCGCACATGCCCACGTCTCTCCCGCGGTGACCCTCCGTTGTCGCGGCCTTCGCAGCGGCGCCTGGTAGTGGCAGTGCTCGCACACGGTAGCTGGAAGCCATGGGGTGCCCCCGCGTGATCACCGCTGCGCCTCCGCCACCCCCCTGCCCCGCGCGCTCACTGCCTCGCGCTGCCGCGAAGCAGGGCTCGAGGCCTAGTTTCACGGGCGCTGCCTCCACTGTCTCCATGGCCTCGCCCGCAGAGTGCGTATCCTGGAACGCGCGCGCGTCGTAGCCCTCCTCCTCCTGCTGCCTTGCTAGCCACGGCCTGGCTGCGGGCCTCCAAGTGGTGAGGCTGGCGCTGAAGATGGCGCGCTTCGGGGTCGCGCCGCCGCCGCCTCTTCCACGGCCCGACCCCGGAGCCCGGAGTCAGCGCGAGGCCTGGGCGGCCCCCTTGCCGCCGCCCTTGGCCTCGCGCAGCTCCTGCAGGAACTGCTCCGCCTCGTCGTTCGGTGGTGCCTCCTGCTCTGGCGCTGCTCCTCCTGCTGGCGCTGTTTTCGGCTGCGCGGCTGGCTTCTCTGCTGCCGCTGCTGTCGCGTCTACGTAGATCTACTGCGCCCCCTCCTCCTGCCTTCCTCTTCTTCGCAGCCTGTGTGATGACACGCCGCTGCTCCTGCGCCTTGGTCTTGGCCTCTGCGAGGTGGTCGCGCAGTCGGCCCGTGAAGCTCCTCGCGTCGGCTTGCAACTGTGCCGCGACCGCCTCCTTCGCCGCCTCCACGGCTCGCTCGGCCTCCTCGTCCATGTCCGCTTGCTGCATGTCGAATTCCTTGGCGATGTCTGCGAGCAGCTGGCCCTCCAACAGGCTGTCGATTCCGCCCGAGATGAGCTGCTCCACTATGCCCCGCCCTGGCGTCGCTGCCTCCGAGCCTTCCATTTGGACAATCTCGACGTCCGCCTCTGCACTCAGCACTGCCTCGGCCTTCTGCGAGAGCGTCTTCCTGGCCTGCCGCGCCGCCTCTTCTGCATCCTGTATGTGCATGTAGGCCGTCGCGCACTGGCGGCTGGCCGTCTCGAGCGCGCGCGCCGCCACCGCCAGCCTGACAGGTTTCGACTGCGGCGGCGGCACGGCGGCTGCTGCCAGCTGGAGGGCGTCGGCTGCCCCCTACCAGCTGGCGTTGGATCGCCTCGCCGCTCTCCAGCTGCACGCCGCCGAACGTGCTGGCGACTACCTGGAGCGCCTGGGCGAGTTCGGCCGTCGTCTGGCCTTGCCTCGGCCGCGCCCTTGCCTCCCTGGCCGCCTGTGCTGTCGCCCTGATGTTTCTTGCCCGCACCTGGCAACATGTTCCCGCAGGTGCACCAGCGCCGCATGGCTTGGAGGCGGTCCTTCCACCACCACTCCCTGCAATTTCCCTTGTGACGTACTCCTGGTTGTGGTGCTGCTGCTGGTGGTACTGCTGCTGGTGCTGCTGCTGGGGCTCCCAAGTGATGCTGTTCCACCTGGCTCGTCCTCCTTTGGAG